GCCCGTCGTAGCAAGCTGAGAAATGAGGAGGAAAAACAAAAGGCAGGTGCACTATGGGGTTAAACAGATACACAGCTTCCTAACAAGCAGTAGTCGGCCCAACTGAATGAGTTCCTTTTTCCACAAGAGAATACATATACGCCCTTGGAACTCCATTTCAGTCGTCTATATGATGAAAAGAATACTTGATCAGCATTTAGTTCCTAGAAAAAGCCTATTGTTGGTTCAAAAACCAACAATTCCAAAGGGTTCCAGAGCGACAATTATGGGATCAATTGCAGCTTCAGGACTAAGTCCTATTTCGCAAAGCAGGCAGAACCGTGACGTTAATGGTTCTGGGTCCCTACAAGGATTCTCATGGGTGCTGAAAACAAAACTTTAACCATTCTCAACAGTAATTGCACAAGTTGTAGTTAATAAAGTTGGAACCAGACGGGGCAGTTACATTTATTCAAGGAAAAAGCAACTAGTGGAAACGCCGCGGGTGGACTCATTTTACCCCCCTTGAAACTGCTCCGACTGGTTGCGACGATATCAATTGCAGGCGCTAATGAGGCCACACCGCGACGACTATTGCAGTCCTACTAGATGTGAGGCGTACCCCAAAAGAATGATTCCACGCAGATGATAGAGGGAGTGAGGCTCGATGTCTACTCTATGCCCTGCTTGACTAATGGCTACAAAAAAGGTTTAGTGCTGCTTTTTCGGAGCCACTAGCCCCTGGGAAAATCGTTGAGCACGGCATTGATGAATGAGGACGTGAGGAAAGAACAGCGTTTGCGCTCAATGACTCACGCCACTTGTCCGTTGGGTGAGGGAAATCAACTGAATGAGTCAGCGGTCGAGCTCCGATGATGAAAGGCTCAGATGAAGATTGGGTCAGAATCGACCGGCTGTTTTCTGCTGGACTAATGTGGGCGCTGTTCGGTGACGGGGGGCATTTTGCACTTTCTTTGCTTCATTCCGGAATACGAGTTTCACTCTGGTAAAACCTGTGAGCTCTTGTGTGGCTGGAACAATGGTGAAACCTGTCAACTCGAAAAGAGGCTCTCTAGATGGGTCGACACGTCGATGGGAAGTAGCAAAAGTGCAAAATGACCCCCCCCGTCGCCGAACTGCGCCCAAATTTGCTAATGAATGCGCTGCACATTATCATATTCGCTGCATATGCTCAGGCATGTCAGAAGGGACTGGGTTTGGCTTGGCTCCAACTCGTTCTCCACCAACTGTTGTAGCGAGCAAGTGACAATAAGCGGTAGAAAATATGCTGGCGCCGTGCCAAAACCAACCTTCCTGAACTGCTCCAGCATCCCCAGCGATCAAGGCCCTTTTCATGCATCTTTTCACCTCTTAAGAGGTTCAACACCAACAGCAATCTCTATTCACGGAATAATTAAGGATCGGGCCTCGGGGCCATTGTGGGCCCAATCAGGCCCTGGCGCTAACCTCTCATAACAATCGTGAATCAAAAAAGAGCGCAAAAATAACTACATGCTGTAACTGTATAAAAGACTGTGTGTATGCCACTAGGACTATAAAAATCGACTACCAAGTTGTTCAAGCGAGTGAATTCAGCACGACAGGCTGTAATCGTTCCCATGGACACCGCTGCTAGACAGTCATGGCAATACAACGATTATAATAAAAAAATGTCCTTAATGATAGGATTCTTCGGGTTGCGCCATGAATTCGACTATCTCTGAAGTATCTTAAGATACATTTGATCTATATGGGAGATTGTAAGGGTCATTCGCTGGTCAGTTCAGTTTGAATATCAGTTTATCCGTCCTAAAAATTTACAATCTAGTGATCAGTGAAGCTTTTGGCACTATTCAACTATTATCTTCCGAAATAAGGCCGACCTTTTATCGTTTTTTTTTCTACGAAGATTTGGCAGATTTGGCTGAAAATTCATTTGCAAGGTGAGTTGGACCTCCCGAATATCGCATCCGTTTAGCCTGAAACTGCCTGACGCCCGCGCCCGCGCACCTAGCGCCGGCGTCAAAATGGTTAGATCACCAAATTTGCTGTAAACTTGTCCCCGGGGGTTTCAAGCGCTTCCGAACATGAGTACCACATTCGCCTGGCACGGAACCGCCTGCCGCCCACGCCATTGGCCCCAGCGCCAAAATGCTCTCCATCACCAAAATCGATGAAAACTTGTATATGGAGGTTGTTTGGCACGCTGACTACATATGACATTCATTCCTGGTGCTGGCGCTAATGGAGGACACCACGATCATCTAAGCTCTGTTAAGGCTGAGCCTGGCCGCCAGAGGATCACATTCCACCAGGCTCAGTTTTAGCAAAGCGCTAAATCGAAAATTGAGCACCATATTCGTGATCAGGGAACCGAATAACCTCAGTATGCAAGTTTACATAGATTTTGGTGAGAAAGGTGTTGGCGCCAAATGGCGCCAGCGTCAGAAACGAATGTCATACTCGTAATCAGCTCATCGAATAATGTTCGAAGTTTCGAGAAATTTTTTTCGAGTTACTGGGGTAGTAATAGTTGCATAGTGCCGACCTTTTTTCCAGAGAGTCCCGTGGACAAGTCCCCGTATCGAATCCTGTCCGAATCCTTTCGAGGTTAGTTGGCAGTAGGTTAGGGCGGACTGTGAAACTAGCATCGGCTGGCCCCCGCTTCTTCACAGGGTCTCACTGAAGTGAGGCACTGCATATGCCTCCTTCTCCTCCCCCTCCTCCTCACCCCCCCCCCCCCCCCTTCGCACCTCCCTCCTCTGAGCCAAATAGCACCAGAACGTTTCTATCTACTACGAAGAGGAAAAAGAATAGAATTGTTCGGTAGGAAAAGAAAATTTCCACGAGTATCATGGGAGAAATAACAAGTTGATTGAGAGCAGTTCGGGATTGATAGTACAAGATACTATGAAGTTAAATAGGAGCAACGCCACTTCGAATTGCCGAGATGAGACGACCGAATGGCGGTTTTTTGTTGCGGTGATCTAGAACGCGGCGTGGCATTTCGGTTTTTCTGACCAGCCCCGAACGAACAGGTGCCGATTACGACTTTTAAAACGACGCTGAAGTGAAGTCATCGCTGCGGCTAACGATCTCTACTGTGATTTCCAAGATAATGGCGTTTCCCATGAAACGTCGTCAACCATTAAATGGGTTATGTGGTTGTAACCAATCTCTTGGGAGTCACATTCTGCTAAAAACCTAGGCGCGGAGGGGGGGGGGAGGGGGGTGGGAGTGAGTCTGGTACCATACCTGTGAGCGCTCGTCAACACACCAGATCTTGTGAACCGTATACATGCGAATACCGGACAACCTTGTCAACATCCCTGTAAGCCTTGTTGTCACCTGTCAAGCTTCTTGTCAAACCTGTCGAGATGACTGATTAGGATTCGGAAGAAAATGGCGAAATGATGTCCTATGACCCTAGTATCAATTATTTAGCAAGGCTTGACAGGAGCTAACAAGTACTTGACAGAGATCTACAAGACTCACAGGGTGAGACACCACTGTGAAAAGACAAAAGATAAAACAAAGGCGTTGACAGGTGCTGCATCACACCCCCCCCCCAAGGTTATCAGCGCCCACATTTTTTTCGGACTCACAGAGGTTGTTGAGCATTTGTCTATCTTACAAAATGGAATGCGGGACCAGATGGCGTTCCATTCAGTGATTTCACAGCCCATTTATTACAATCCACCCAGCGATTCCACGACCAGTGGAATCAGATCTCAAATAGGGCAAGCGATTCCACGACCAGCGGGATCAAATTTCAGATAGAGTAGTCGGATTTACTGTCCCTTCAAGGCCGATAAATTGGTATCAAAACAGCAACAAGACTGTTATTTAGCCCTTCAGTTGTACGCAGAGGTCGACTACCCACTGGAGTACCGCTACAACTTTGAATAGAGAGTAAACGACAGGGGCATTTTTCCACCACCTCAGCTGGGAATGAGTGCCGCGAGAGGGTTTAATGTGTGAGGCTTGTCTACCAATCTGATTCAACGGTAATTCTTGTGGGCTTTACCCAACAGTTTTCTCCAAGCAGTCCCGTGACAAAAAGCTACATCAAAAATATAAGTGTGAAGGGTAACATTTTCGCAGTTGATCCATCCCTTTTAAGAGTGTGATGGGCATTCTACTCCCATCCACTATTCCAGTGGCATCTGCAATGCGATTCAGCCTTTACAGTAGACTGGAGGAGCCAGATAATGTACAAACTAGCGCTCTTATTCCGTTAGATACGTGTGATACCGATGAACCGATTCCGGCGGTTGACTTGCGCTTCCAGGACATAATGCCCTTGCTGGGGCATGGTGCATGACGCCAGTGCCATTACAGCACCTCCCAGAAATAAAGTACATGTACTTTCGAAACTTTCACATAAATTTAATAACAATTTATATGGCAACTACCTTACAATACTATCCGAGTAATCATTTCGTACACAAATTGGCACAGTCCGGCTCAGTGAGGGCATTTCGCTGATTCCCCCCCCCACCTTCCTTTTGAAGGGGTGTCTATTCCTGTTGAGCTCTGCAAGAGCATGAGCTTTGCTCACGCTTGACTAGGGTCTACAAGTCTCAACAAGATAAGACCAGTATTTTAGCAGGAACTAGCAAAAACAGGGCACATCAGTGGTTGGGGATTCTGGTCACGTCCGTACCCCTCCTTAAAGATGACTTGAACGAACCCTCCCCTTCAAAGATGACTTTGATACACCCCTCCCCCCGAAAAACTAAAAAAAAACTAACTCACGAAATTACACTTCACAAACGGAGAAAATTTTTCCCAATTTTCCAACACCGCAAAGGCAAATACGAGCCTTCCCCTTCCCCACAACGGCCAACTATGACCCCCTCCCCCCCTTCATAACGGTCCTGTAAAACAAAAATCCACTATCAAAAAATCCAAGACCAAATACAACCCCCCCCCCGTTGGGGAATCCGATGTGCTCTGTGCAAAAGAACCAGCGAAAGTGCAAAACGCCCCAGCTTGAGTCGAACAGCGCCCGTAATAAACTAATAATAATCAAATGGAATGTATACAGGCATGTAGAATTCTGAGTGGCGACAGAAAGGTAACCTCACAAATCTGGGCTTCCATTGGCCATTCACACACGTGTAATTTTCTTTGTGAAGAGTTTCTCCTAAAAGAAATTGTAAATCAATGAAATTTACACAATGAACGTTGCTTCAGCGACAATCCCAACTGCTGTTGATACGTCCCTGGCTTGAGAAGTGGGGGGAGGTGGGTATGTAGCTTCAAGAATTTTTTCCCGTGCGCGAAAAAGTTCCCCTCCCCCTCCGCTCGAAGACTGTTTCGGGAAAAACTGAGAAAGTTCTGAGAAAGTTGGGAGAAGATAAGAACAGCAAGCTGGTGGGTAGGGTAGAAAAGGGCGGAAATGGTGGTCGTACCACAGAAGGGAACTTACAAAATTCTCTCAGCTCAGGATATGTCGTGCCTGTTGTTACATCAGTAAGGAGTAGAAAAAATAAAAAGATAGTTCACAGAAACTCACCATTCGTATCCAGAATGCACTCGACTTCATACTGGGAACTGTTCGCCACTGAAGCATCTCTGCTATGAGTTTCGACATCACTAGAGATTGGCACAACATTCGTGAAAATGTCATACAACTCGTTCAACTTGCATCTTTCTGAAGTGAAACCGTTGTGACTCCGTAGTTTTTTTCCCGTTTCAAAGTCATGTACAGGGTGGCTAGTAAGTATGGGCGCACAAAAATGCCCCTCCTTCAGATTTGCGCACTTTTCTAGCGACTTTCTCTACCCAGTAGATCTTACTATTAGATACAACCCTCATCATTGCAGACTGTCACAGGCGGCGTGAGCAGCGCGGTTGGAGTCAGCGTTCGGCTCCCTTGCTCTACCAATGGCGATCGGGTAGAAATCGATTCAGGAAGGAAACAACCAATGATGGAAACGCCGCATGTGAGAACCGCTGATTGCGACCCGACAATTGCGGTGATATTGTAGATCCGTACTTTCCATTAGTCACGGCTTATCCCTCACTAGAGGTACTAGGCTGCGGAATTGATAACTTCGCATCAAATCCCCAAATTTGTGGTTTTCTCACCAGGGCACATCGTTGTTGGGGAGTTCCCAACAGGGTGGGCGTATATGGTCGCTGGGTGAGGGGGGGGTTCGTATATGGGCTGAGAAAAATTTCGATAATTGATTGTTCTCGCTTCACGGACGTTGTAGGGGGGGACTCGTATTTGTTTTTTCGTTAGGAGGCGGGAGCTTCGTATTTCCCTTCTGTCCTTCTGAAGAAGGTTGCCTGACTTTCCGTGATTTTCCCTGTTTCATGTGTTATATACCCGCCCCCTGCTCGGTAGCATAATTTGTTGGGAAAAACTAGGAAATTTTCCGGGACTTCCCGAAAAAGTGGTAGAAAGTTGGGGACAAAGAAAGAAATGGTGAAAAGGAGGTCGTATTTTCCTCGCGGCTTTCCCGTTTCACATGTGCTGTCCCCCCCCCGCCCCAGATGGACAGTTCGATGAGAGGGAGAACCAGGGGGGTCGTACCAACCCCCTAAAAAAAGGGGGTCGTACGGACTCGACCAAGATACCCAACCAATGATGTGCCCTGTTTCTCTTTATTTCATTTTTCTTCTATAGTTCACCGCACAGAAAATTCTAGTGGGTCCGGGCCTGAGCTATCGGGAATCCCAGTTCTTTGTTGAGTTTAAAAAGATAGAAGGGAGGCGTTACAGTCGTCTTGAAAGAACATCCGCGAATTGTTTTGCTTCCACTTGGCTTTCATTATCTTCAAAACCATTTCGATAGACTTGATAACTATTTTTCACTTCTTCATCGACTTGGAGGAATATTAATAGGTTGTCATATCATACCACATATATCATTTTAAATCCCCCTTGAGGTTGATTCAGTCCCTGGTTCCTTGGAAGAATTTCGCCCGATCATGGTAAGGTTGCATAAGGCCAGTGATAGGCGCCATACTTTTAGGCAGCTGGGTATTTTGAAGTATAAAGAGCAAGTACGCGAAATCTGACCTTATCGCTCACCTCACTTGGAAGAAGGACGAAGTAGTAGAGCGAGAAGCATTCCCACTCGAACTAAACAAAATGTTTTCTACTATTGGAAAGGATTTCAGATACGTGGCAGATCAATTACTGAAGCGAGTCGTTAAAAAATGTAGCGCTCTTCGGCTTGGGGCGGGCAAGTTGCACTTTCGCTTGTTTTTTTTTGCTTTCTTATTTAGGTCGGTGTCACAAAGATTCGTTGGCATTTTGGTAAACGAAGTCGCGTTACGCAACGCGTTGTGATTTTGCATAATGGTTTCGCAATACTGAAAGTACTCGCGATGGGCTATCTTCTGAGCTAGCTAGCTCTAAATTTCCCTTTCCTTGATCTATTTCCAATAAAGAGTTTGAAGTGAGTGATAGTTGCTGGACTACTACAATCTGGACATCTCCAGACGTCAGGCCACGACCAGGATGCGTCAGCAGTTTGGTGATAACACCCCTTCTAAGAACTGGATGTCAAAATGGGGGACTCGCTTCACCAATGGAAACTATGGCATCGAAGATATGCCGAGGTTTCTGGTTCTCTCGTCACGGCACTCCTTATTATAACACCCTACCACCAATAGCCACAGTGACGGCAGAGACCCTCTCTAAAGAATTGCAGGAGGTCAAGGTGAAAGCTGTCCCCAGAAACTTGCAAATCCGTGGTTGCTCTGAGACAACGCGCGCCCCCACAAAGCGAGAGATACTCAGGCCGTCCTGGACAGGCTGGGCATCAAGACGTTCACGCATCCACCGTATAGCCCGGACATTATCATGCCGATTTTAACCACATACTCCAGTTCCAGGGAGCAAATTTCTTGGACAGAAACGCCTAGAAGAAAAGAAACCAAGCGCGACTCGGAGGACGTGATCGATGGACTGTCCGTAGTCGCGGACGTGCCAGTTTTGAGAGGATGGAGTTGCTTACTTAACGCGATGTTGGGAAGGTGTGGGAGATGACATGCGAGATTATATATGGACGGTAGTTCATCTTGCTGGAAGTATCTTCAGTAAGCTCTGCAAAAAACGACATGGCACGAACTTTGTGACCCTAATATATAACAAAAAGGTTCTTTTGTTGGTGAGACTTTGTCGGACTTTGTGAAGCTAGGGAAGTGGTCAAAGAGTCACTGTAGTTTGCTAGAATTCACACTGTGAGGTCTTCAAAGGTGGTCTCTACGGATTCTCTGGTTACATCGGTAATGCCCACCAAGCGAGTTGTTGACTATAGTATGCTTACATTGAATCAGCTTTACAGGATTCTTCAGCCTAAACTGATTTTTCGTAATCAAAATCTTGCATATGGCTTTTTTCAGTGACAGAGCTCACAAAGGTGGAACCTTTAGAAAACTGCTGGCAGTAGCGATTTTTGCTGATAGAACGCGATCCTTCTTTGTGTTGCGAGGGATCATGTTACGGTGCGACTAATAAATCACGTCCACCTCCACCTTTTGGTGGATGGAACCCCGTCAGAGTCAGCCGAACCGCAAAACTCAGTACATAGCGTAATTCGCTGATTCGAAAGGGCGTGTCAGACGGGAAGAGTTTGGCGCGATGCCAAAAACGTCATCAGTTTTGAAGCTTTGAAGTACTGAAGAGAGTGCATCACGTCGTTCGTGCTACTTGTTTTCTACCAATCGCCTTCAACAACTGGCAAAAGGGGTTTGGCGCCGTGGCACTCTTATACTGCCAGTCACACCCCTTCATCCTCAGTGAATTGGACTAATCGTGGTGGTCGAGCGAAATCCACCAGGGCGCGATTGTAGGGGGAAGTGGTTTTCAGCCTCACGAGAAGTTCCTTTTGATCGTCGATTTTTCCCGTTTTAGAAGCGCTATATAAGCGCCGTAGTTGAGGGCGAAAGAATGCCGTGACTTAAAGGCAGATGGCACGATAATTTGGTACTCGGCCAAAAATGCTAGCAGGGCTCTATGTGGGAAATGGCGAAAAAACGAAGTGAAACGGTCAAAAACCTGCGAAGAAAAGCCAGTTTCTAATGACTCAAAAAGCAATTTCGGACGAGTTTCCCGTAGGCACCTTGCCAGTAGCCGCTACCGTAGATACGTACACGATATACTCATATATGTAGCACCACGGACGCTCCAAATCACTCCCTTCGCTTCGCATTTTACTTTAATTAAGTAATACGAGCATCAGGTACAGGTCGTCCACTTGTGGGTGGGCGGGCTCGGTGGGCGGGCGCGGTGGGCGTTCGGGTCGGTATGTTGTAGCTTGATAGGGCCTTATAAGGGTACCTTCCTTGGAAAAGGCGCTACGCAGCGCCTGCTCAGGGTCGCGGAATTCCGTCCTGCCAGGCGTATTAATCCTACTCGTCTTAGGGGTTTATCGTGCCAACTGCCTTTGATGATCATGACCATTTTCTTGATATTCAATATTCTTCATACTTTAATAGTTCAGCTTCAGTTGGTCCGATTCCAGAAAGGAAAGGAATCAGAATACAGTGGGTTCGGAATAAGTCTTTTTCAAAAGGTGCGAGTAGGGAGAAATGAAACAGTTTTCCCCGAGTCCCTCACCTATTTCTAACCAGCTGCTACTTTTTAGAGAACTTCCCAGCAAGGAATGATGCCACCCACAAAGCTTCAATGCCCAAGGCTGGCAGCTGGAGACCGCACAAGCAGTGTCGTGAAAATATTTTGTGAATTTAGATTAGTTCGAGGCTGAGATCTATGTACGTAATACAGCATCGCAGTGTATCACTAGACAGCTGAGGATGCAATAAAATGGAAATGTAAAAAAAATCAAGAGAGACACATAAGAGAAAATGGGAAACCAAAAAATTCCGTCGAAGTAGGTTCCCACAGTCTGCTCTGCAGTTGAAACAAGTTTCCACAGTTTTCTGCAGATGATGTCAGGCAATAATAGAAAGTTTATCGGCAGAAGAAACGGTATTGGAGGGCACCGCAATGAGAACACTGCGTACGTTCCCATTTCTCCTGTAGAACGATCGAAGAATGTCTCTAATCTAGAGCAAGTCCTATGGACCCGCACCACTAAATACCAGTGTGGTGTCATGCGGTTATTTAGTGGATGCTTTGTAATGATTCATCGCCACTTAGTCACCTTGTATCAACACCATGGAAGCATATCTATATAAGTGGCTTCATCGTATCATAATTTCGCGTAGGAGAGGTCTTGCTAAATTATGATGCAACCTTACTTCCGTCTTAGTTAGTTATTATTTTTATCATATTCCATATCATAACACATGATGATTTGTTCTTTCCCTGAGAGCGTTGTCGTGTCAAACAGTCTCTTATTTCTCTGCGTTTTTATAGAAACTGAAGGTATTAAATCAGGCTTTATTTGGAGTTCAGCAGTATGCGAAAGCTTGACCCAGGTTAGGGGAAGCCCACATAGAACCGTATATTATTGCGCTGCGTCGCACGCGGGCAATGGGCACATCGTTCGGCTTACTACCCTTTCTTATTGGCATCGGATTAGCATGTAGAAAAGAGGTATGCGTAGAAACGGTTTATGTCTATTATTTGGTCATACATTAAACTGATTCTCGCAATGTCCTCCTAAAATTGTTTGCGTCATTAGTCAGTGCGGATCTTCCCACGCACGCCTCATTGCGCTTATGGCGAACGTTGGTATATATATGATTGCTTTCGCCCACACATTACACCATCGAGCCAGCCGCTTTTTCTCGACAAGCTAAACGGGATATTTAATGCCAAATAAAGATCCTACCAAACTTTCGGCTACGACCCTTCCAAGAATTTTCTACCAAAGGCCACTTCCAGCAGACTGCACGTCATAGTCACATATCATATATATATCATATCTATTTATGCTCGTTACTGTAAGTGTTAGAAACAAAGGTATAAAAAAACGCTTTCCCTCGAATCAGGTAACCTCCATCGACCTTTATTCATGTATCATCGGACGAGCGAGAAGTTGGTCAAGATCAACAAGTGATCTGCAGAAGGTGACCATACACTGCAAAGCGCAGAAAGGAACCATGAATAATTGACGGCCGAGAGAGGTTCGAACACATTAGTATCTCTTACGGACGACAACTTGTATGCGTTGCATGCTTCTTGGGCCAAAATCAAAGTCCTAGTCGTGTTTTGCGTGCCATTGTGCAATTCTGAATACCAGTGCAACCTCTACGATCATATTACACATTTAAAACGTTATAGGCCCCCTTGTTATGCGAAAGTGCCTTACGAAGACTCTACGACGCATATTTTCACTGCAACGTCTAGACATGGATGTCCTCTCTCTCTCTCTTCCTAAGAATTTTCAGTGTAACCTTCTAAGTAATCCAAAATAATCGATTCGTTACACACCCTAATTGATGATGAAAAAGTAGCGATTCAAACCAGTTCTGCAGGAGCCCAATAAATTATCGATTAAAGGCCATTTTCAAGGGAGCAAGGAAGGTAAAAAAAGGCCGATGAGCGTACGGAATTAACTACTATATTCGCAATGTTACTGTAGTTTTTCCTTTCTTTCGAGTCTTTTTTCTCATAATATTACCATGATCCTCACGTATTAACATTCAGGATTATTAGCTTTGAGTTGGCCTATTAAAGCCAACTCCACATCGCTTCGTCGATCATATCATGCCTTGTTAGGTAAACGTGGACATTAGCAATGTGTCACTTTCCCGGTTGAAAAGTGCACGGAAAAGGATGAAAGGGAGTTACCCGGTGATGCCGTCGTGCTTTCACCTGCGTTTTCACCAGGTTGACTGGAACAGCGAGTCAGTTGTGTAACACACATAAGGTCACAAATTTTGCGCACTAATTTTCTGTCACCCAAAGACATCTCCAATCCACAAGGTAACCATAGTTGATGACTAGGACTAGTGCCCTTCTTTTGCACAGCTTCTCATTTCCATTCTCATAGAAACCTACCGGCAAAAGCTATGATAAAAAGAGAAGAGGTAGACTCTATCATTACTCGCAGTTTAGGTCGATTTTTCAGAATCCTCCAACGACCATCTCTAATCTATGGCATATTGTTCCGCTCAAATTATGTGTATTTAAGGCCGACCAACGATTTTAACGTTTCATTAGGCCAATCTTTTCGCTCTCCCTTGCAGAGCCTAAAGAGTCCTAAACGAGTTTGATTTAGTCTCCAAACGCGGTACCCAGCTAACAAAAACTGAACCCTTTCGAAAACTGGCTAAACAACTAACCGTACTCATCGTCACCTCTCACAGATGAACGCGGCTCACCCATTATTCTCCGCCACGGAACGCCACACGACCACGCCTCCTCTGCGAGTCAATTCCAATGAGGTGACGAATCCTCCCTCTATCCTCGACCTCAAACCTCACCTCATGCGATTTTGTAATATTTGCTTCTAAAGGATGCATAAACCAAGAGGTGTAAGTTAGAGGCTCCTAACGCTTCTGGTACGCTCGCATTCTCTGATCGGAATCCATGATCTTTTGGCGTAGCCTGATCCCCACATGCGGTCTTCGCATTGCCGAGTAGTAGAGAAAAATTGAGTCAATTCCTGATAGGACATCAAGCGACTTCATCCATTATTTGAATCTTAGGTGACTGTGTCCTTCACAACGTGCTAGTATCGGTGATACCGCTTCAGCCAATAATGAAATCTTCATCCAGCGACATTGATTTGGCTATAGCAATCTACGTTTCTGTTGAGAGATTCTGCTCAGGACATGTGCATGATGGTCGTAGACTCACAACATCGCTACCAACCACGAATCTCACCAAAAGAGTCTTTCGCTGATGATACAATGAAAAAGAAAAACACATCACGGTCATTTGATTATGACTTGTCAGACGGGTCCAACTCATGAGGCATCCTTCACAAAAAATTTTTCCGATAACCTCAACAGCGGAGAAGCATGGCACTTGTCAGTCAGGTGGGAGCTGAGGAAGAGTTCGCCAATTACTACGGCTACGTTCAGCTGCGCTCAAGAAGCTTGAGTAAAGGGTCTTCATTCTGGTGGCTTGTGACTTCAAGGGCCCACGACCCTACCACCATTGCTTAACCTACGAGTTGGTTATAGAAGTCCACGCCTGGTAAGCGGTGATGTAATAAGGTCTGGCTAATCGCAAGCTATACTTTCACGAGATCACTACACGATGTAATGTCTCCTACGGACTATGCGGAGTAGCCTACGAGACTCATAATATGAATTAAGTACCCAGATAGTATCCTCGATATTCTGAGGGACTTTTAAGCTTTGAAACTCTCCACAAAAGTCATGCATACATACCCATGTGCCAAAACCCCAGAGGACAATCTCCACTAATCAGGGATAAAAACATCCAAAATGATTTTTGGTCTTTTTCTAGAACAATTCAATCAAAGTGTCGCATTACTTTTCGAACAACCTAATAATAGGGGTTTGCATATAGACGACAAGGTGCTAAGCCACTCGATAGTGAAAAGCAGAAAAAACATGCCACCTGCCCCAGACAGAACCCCGGTCCCGATTTGCACGTGCCCAACGAACTCAGCCACCTACACTACGCCCTCATCTGCACAGCTGTTTCCCGATAAAAACTCTACGACCGTACAAGTGACGATTTTCATGCTTTTTCGTCCTGCAGCTTCGTTTTCACTGAAAGGCGGGCCTTGAAGGCGGAGTCTGGAGGCGGAGTCACTGGAAAAAAGGAGGCGTCACTGAACCTATATTGCGCTATAGCGCCCCTCCCTTACAATTTTTTGCCGCGAAACCGGTACAAGGTTGTTCGTCGCGGACCACACTACCCTCCCGACGCCATATTTTCAACTTCTGAACCTGATCGGATACAGCACCTTCAAGAAGTACAGTCCTTTTCACAGCTCACTCTGAGACTCTCCGCCCCTATGACGACATGCGTTCCTGAGGGGATGCTATTGATCCATCTGCCATCTACACAGCGCTGCCCCATGTGCCTCGGTGATCCAGTGAAGAACACCATGAAAGCAGAAAAAGAATTCATTTAACAAGACAATTACATACCTATTAAACATAACATATTGAAAATGTACCGCAAAACCCATGCAACATAGTCCATTGACACGTTTATCGAATACAAAAGCCGAAGTGTGAACTCTATGCTCTACGCTATCGCTATGCACACATAGTGATATCGGCTAGAGCTTCGATTCCACGCCTAGTCAGGCTTGTATAAAGTGCCATTTGTCGATATCTTCCGGGAGAGCTGAGTGTTCTGCTGGTTGTGGTGCACTATCCAGTACCGATTGAGCGAAGTCATGAGTGGCTTGATGAGCTGCTCCTTCCACAAAGCACTGCCTGTAATCAAATTCACTGAAAATATAATTCATAGAAAACTCTGATGCACTTTTAGACAGCTTTCAGACTGCGCGATGACGCGCTTCCACACTCTACCATTGCAATGGTGCTCTGGAAATGGGAAAGCAACCATAGATAGGTATCGACCGGCGCCGGCCGCTACTGCCTGAGAGAGAGCATGTGACAATGGGTGCGCGCGGCCCAATCACACAGTCTGGTACCTCCTATTTTTCTATACTCTCCCAAAACAGAAGTGGTGGGCGCCGATCGATGCCAGACGCTCGTTACGGCGCGAAGTCTAAGCACTTCCTTACACGGCGCTGTATAATGTGCAGCAGAACATTATAAAAGAGTTTAGGGCTCCTCCCTCCGTTCTTTGAACTTTGCCAACAGCCCTTACCGCGATCTACTTCCCCAAACGTAGTCTGATTGAAGACAAGAAAGGGTAACTACAACCTTCCGACTCCACTTGTACGAAAACCAAAATCTTCAGAAAATTCAGCTCATGACACTCATAACGCTCCACGGATGTCGCGCGACCACAGAGGGGAAGATGCCAGTGTGTATAAATGGGCCGCGATTTGTAACTGAATCTCGTATGCAACAGTCTCAAAAATTCGCCACTAAAAGTAGTCGGCATTTGCGCGACCAGGACCTCAGTCGAGAGAAGTGACGTCCCAGTACCCTGTTCCTCAGAACAGCGGACCTTGCCACCAAGTGGGGTGGGCGCTACGAGAGAACAGCTCAAACGAAGCCACTCTAGGTTTCGCGGGCTGTCGCCGCTTACGCTATTTGCGTTTAAAATGTCTCGTTTACTTTCTTCAAGTTCGGTTATGCCGAAGAGTTATTAGAAGTTAGACGTGTTCCTGAGGGAAATTTTAGGTCCGCCATTCTTTTAGGTAATCTAGCCACCAGATAGGGATAAACCCTTTCTACATGCTCCAGCGACACACTAACACGAATCAAAATCTTCGCATTTTTGCATAAATCCTTTTACGCCTCCGAAGAATCTAGCAGTCATACAAGAAAATGGTTAAAACTCAAACGTACGTTTTCAACTTCGGTGACGCCTCCTTGATAAGAGATTTCCAGAATTCGTTTGTTTCGCCAATCACTTTATGAGCGTAATCCCTATCTTTGAACTCGCCATTAAAGGCGAATTTATTTTCTGGTTTGCCTGTTGGAATCTTGTAAATACGGAACCACTCATGGGTAGCCTGAAATACAGAAAACATTGACCAAGTGAGTAGATGTATGAAAGAAAGGACTTACTAAAAGAAAGCTATTCTGTCAAAGCAGTTCACTTCACAGCTTCGCTGTGGATGACGGGGTGTGTCAATGAGGCTAACCCGTTCCCAACCAGCTATTGAAGCGAGTAGGCGACCATAATAGAAGGATAACGACTTACATGGACGATATGACCCAGCCTTGTCGCTTGTCGAAAGAAAAAAAGAGCGCCGCACCAGACCCACTCCTCGTGGCACGCCCCATCATCCGCGGCGAACAAGACTGTAGTAGCTCAGTGAAGGTTAAGCGTGATTCTTCATAGGGTCAACCGTCTGTAGACACCGAATTCCCACTTACCTTTAACAATCCAGGAAAATGCTTCTCGACATCACCAATATTATTCATCTGTGACGCTATTGGATCTTCGACATCAATTGCCACTACCTTCCAATCGGTTTCACCTTCATCGATCAAGGCCAATGTTCCAAGTACTTTCACCTAGAGTAACATAAGTATTATTAGGGTAGTTCAGGTAGTAAGATACTCCATTGGTCACAAGTTTGGGTGCTGATCGGCTGGGAGGGGGCATTTTGCGCTTTCACTACTTCCTTTTGTTGGTTCATGTTAACTAACAAGTTTCACTTTGATCAGAACTGTTAACTTCTGTGAAGCTGCGAAACTATTCAATTGAGCCTATTCGGCTACAGGAATTCGCAGGTCCTTACAAGGTGGTTTGTAAAGTTTTGCTGCAAACTATTCGGTGCTCCCACCAAGCCGAACTGTACCCTGTTTTGCCTAGTAATAAATGAAGGATTCAATAATCATTCAAGTGAG